GCACACGCCACCATGTCTAACTCCTAGGAGAATTTAAAGTGTTTCTTCTTAGGCTTCCTGTCATGTTGGAGTATATGCACAAACACATTTTAAAAATTAAAGCACACTTTTTTTTTTTAAGGCAGAGTCTCATTATGCAATCCAAGCTGGCCATGAAGTGGTGATCCTCCTGCCTCAGTCTCCTGAGTGCTAGAATTACAAGTATGTGCCACTACACCAGCTCATCTGCACGTTTGATAAGCAGACATGTGCCTGGATTTGGGTTCCTTTCCCTGTTCCTATGCATAGTGATTCAGGCCCAAGACTCTGGTGTGTGCCTCACCTCCCTGTGCTCTGTGCCCTCCGCCCAGCCACCCACACCCTGAGAGCCGTGCCATGCCGTCACCACGGCCCCCGAGCTGCTGCTGACCTCAGTCCTCACAGCTGCCCACCCCGTCCGCAGTGCCCTCCACCTCTGCTCCCGTCTCTCATGGACGTTCCCCAGAGTCTGCCATAGTTTGTTCTCCGTAGCAGTCAGAATAGTAAATTTGGAAGTCAAGTAACATCCTTCCCCTGAGCCGAACGCGAAGGGGCTTCCCAGCACCGGCCTTCCCCATGGCCTCAAAGGCTTCCCAGTCTGATCTCTGCCTTTGGTGGCATTGCGTCCCCTTGGTGTCACTGTGTCCCCCTGCTCCATTCTGCTGTGGCCCCGGCACTGGCCCGGCCACCTGCCTACCTGCCTCTCACCCGCTGAACTGCGCACGGAGAGGCTTGAGATGCCTGTGCCGGAAGGGTTCCCGGCCCAGGTACCGCAGCTGCCGCACCCCGTCTTTCCGCCACTCCCCTCTGTCTGTGTGCCCTCGGCCACGTCCTCCTGGCCTCCTCTGGAAGTTGAGCTCCACATGGGTAGGAGGTGTCCCGTTCTTGGGAGTGTTGAGTGAATCAGTGTCCGAGAAGGACTGCGTGTGTGAGGGTCAGGTGCGAGCATACCCGCTCATCTGTCCTAGTGTGCGGCTTCCCGCTTCTCTCTGGCTGCGTCTGTTCATTCCTCCCTGATTAACAGGGCCGCGCGCACGGCGCACAGCGCACTGTGCTCAGTGTCGGGGCTGCGTGGCGAGCGGGGGAGCCGCGGTTTTCTCTGGAGCCTCCACACTGCCAGGGAACAGGTGCTGAGAACTGGCCCAAGCGGGGGAGAGAGCTGGGGAGTTGAACGGGCCTTGGCACGCAGGAGGCCCGCTGCGGCCCCTCACCTGCTGCCCCCAGACTAAGAGGCGAGGTCGGTGTTAGTGCTGAAAGGAGTCCTTCGGGCTGTGTCGTGGAAGGCGTGTGGTGGCCAGGGCTGTGCCAGGTCTGCTCGGCAGGGAGCCTTCCCAGAAGGTGGCAGGAAGCGGCCACAGCAGACAGGGAGGGCCGAGCCAAGTGTTAGGGACTGTGCCCGTGGCGGAGGGACGCGGTGGCCCGAGCTGACAGGGTTTGGGCTGTTGCAGCGACGGCAGAGGGCCCGTGTGGCCGCAGTCACGGGCTCTGCAGGCCCCGGGGTGGACTCGGTTTTTATTTTGAGGCCCTGGGAGGCCACAGGGCTCAAGGCGAGTTTGTGGGAGTGATTTGATTCAAGAACCGCTGTGACTGCTGTGTGAGCTGTAGGGAAGCCGTGGTAACGTGCTCCCCCGCCACTCCCCAGTACCGAGAATCGAACTCATGACCTCGCGCTTGCCAGGCAGGTGCTGTGCCACTGAGCTAAATCCCCAACCCCTTGGTAACGTGCCTTAGTGCTTAGATTTTTGAAATTGTGGTTCCAGGTATTTGCATTAATGAATAAGGAAAACAGCAGCACAACAAATTGCTAGGACATTGCTAGAGCTTGCTAGCCTTCCAGGACGTCCTCCTGTGCTTCAGGTGTTGGGGATGTGGGCCTCTGACGGGGACGTTGTGAGACCTGGGCCACTGGGGGGCCTCTTCCGCCGCCTGCTTTTGATTTGGAGGCTGGTTTGGGGCTGTTGCCGACCACTCCCAACCCCATCCCGTGCTGGTTTGGGGTCCGTGGGAGCAATTTATGTTCCTGCTGTTCTCCGGGGCCCTCATCGAAGTGCCAGATGTCCCGCATGGCAGGTTTGTGCCAGGCTGTGTGTCCCCCTTCCTGGTGATACATGGGGAATAAATGTAACTCAGCCTGCCAGATGTCAGATAGACCGAGCTCGTGTTCCCCAGAATCGAAGAATGAATTTTAAGGAACAACAGAGGTCTAGAGGTTATTGAGAGAGAGAGACTCCTGACAGGAGGGGGCCCAAGTGGGTTGCCGCAGACCCTATTTTACACAGGAAGTTTTATAGAGCAAAAGCAGGAGGTGGTACAAAGTGGGGCAAAGCCGTGACCAGCCAGTTAGATACCAGTACAGGTGTTTAGGTCATGTTGATCCAGTGGGGAAGCAGGTCACGAAGCAAGGATACATGGAAAGAACCAGAACCTTTTAGGAAGGATGGATCAGGAGGGCCTGGTCACCCACCTGAGTGACTGATTTCTATGGTACCTTCATCGGACCAAGTGATACCAATTATCTTATCCGCAGGGGCGGCAGGTAGGCCTGGTCATTCCATCTTTATCTTGAGGCCTGGCCTTCAACAGATCGCCTCGGGCCACAGCTGTATGTGTTCTCATCCTCTGCCCTGAGTCCCTCAGGCCTCACCCTGACTGCCTGTCCGATTTCGAAATAATACTGGGGTGGTGAGAGCAACACCATCTTCTGATCTCAGAGATACTTCAGGTGTTGGAAAATTTTTCCATTGGTGGGGGAGAAAAGAAACAGATTGTGAACACTGCTGGCCAACAAAAACAAAACAACCCAAGCAGCTCGTGTTTTTTGGTCTGAGGCTTCTATTGAGTACAGTTACCCATGACACCCAATTAGGGTGCAGCCCTTTGAGTCTAATGTTACTTTCCCAATTTTTAAAAACAAAAGTGTTTCTGATTCAGTTATCATAGTCCATTGCCAAAGCTGACACCAGTCAAAGCAACTGAGAGGTGACGAGGAAGCAGGTAAGCTGTTCAGCAGACCCTTGAGAAGGGAGTTGAGACTGAAACACAGGGTCAAGCCTCACCCTGGATGCTGACCAGCAGGTACTTTCTGTTTTGCACTTAGTAACCAAGGAAGTCTTTAAGAAAACACAAAATTATCCTGAAGATTCCCTTAGAAACATTCTGGCCTGAATCTGAAACTTACTTTTATTTTTAAAAATTGGGATAAAATACATTAGCATAAAGTCTGCCATCTGTTTTTGGTCGGTTGGTTGGTTTTGAGACAGAGTCTTACTATGTGGTGCAGACAGGCCTTGAACTTGTAGTGATCCTCTTGCCTCAGCCTTCTGAGTGCTGGGATTACAGGTGTGCGCCACCAGACCTGGCTTACTTATTGATTAACTGATTGATTGATTGAGACAGGATCTAACCATGTCACTGAATGGCCCACGCTGGGCTTGAATTTGTGATCCTCCTACCCCAGCCTCTCAGAGTGTTGGGATCACAGTCATGCACCACCATGCCTGGCTTACATTTGTATTTTTAAAGGAAGATAACTGCATGGCGTGCAGTCAATTTAGTGAGAACTCTGTCGCTGTTTTTGCTTTTGTGGATCTTTAGAAGGCAGCCGGGTTCTCGTATTAGCTTCCTTCTCAAATCTGTTGCACAGTCCCACCGGTAAACTCCAGCACATACTGCTGGAGGACACAAGGGGAAAGAACATCCATCTTGGTGTTTCTTTGAAAGTAGTTTTGGCCTCAGGCCTTCTGGAACGGAGACCCCTAGGGACCCCTGGGCTGTTGGTGTGGAGAGGAGAAGAGTAGATGCCAGTGGTGTCTCTCACCAGTGAGCAGGTGTGCCTGACCTCTCTGGCCTCAATTTGCTCGTAGCAGAAGTGGGCACAATGCAAACACCTGTTGCAGTGGATCTTTTTGCAGCTGAAACAAAGTATTTAAGACACAGCCGGAAGACAGGAAGTGCCACAGAAGTTGTAGTAAACAGACAAAAGGAGACTTCACTTTTTTTGGGGCTATCCCAAGTAGACAGCTGACCCAGCAGGCGTCTTCAGGGGCCATGGAGTTCAGTCGGGGCTGATCTGCGGCAGAGGCTGGGAGGCCAAGGACAGAAAGAGGAGCAGGTTTCTGCCGGGTTAGTGGGACAGGCAGGCCTCCCTCTGTCGGACGGCACCGTCCCGGTCAGGGCTTGTGGTGACTCAGCTCTCCCACCCTCCTCGCTCCTGGCCGGATGGTTTCCCCGAAGCCCGCTCCGTCCTCACTGCCTGAGCGGCAGGTGTTGGGTTATGAATGAAGTGCTAGGAAAGTATGAGGGAACATTGGTGACCCGCCGGGATTTTGTGACGAGTGTTCATAATGGTTTGATAGCTCCGGGGTATTCTGAGGAGGAAGTGGCAGGCTGTACTTTTGTTTCAATCAAGTAAAAATAACCTGATCGTTTTGCTCCTGAAACTTCTGGTAAAATTTGTGTCTTATTGTAATTTGTGTTTCTCTCAGTGACTTGACTGGCCATTTAAAATGACCGCCTAACGCCATGTCATTAAAATAACAGCAGATTTTAGTGTGTTTAGAATGTAGTATGTTTATTGGAAATTCATAGTACCCATCCAGGAATGACAGTAAGCCAAGATAGAGCCAGCTGTGGTGGCGCACGCCTGTAATCCCAGCACTCAGGAGGCTGAGGCAGGAGGAGGATCACTGCAGGTTCAAGGCCAGCCTGAACTGCATAGTGAAACCCTGTCTCAAAAAGACAAAACAAAACCAAATAAAAAAATCATGGTAAGGTGACTCAGGGACGGATTTAAATAGTGAGCTGGTGTCTTGTACGAATACTGTTTAGCTGAGTTTTTCTCCCAAGTGAGTACTTTCTCTGTGAGGCATATTTGGCTTTTGAGCGGGTGTGGTTCGGTTGTTGGCGACCCAGTGCCTGTCGTCACTCTCGGCTGTGGCTGGCCCTCATGGTCACAGGGTGCCCGTTCTCCTCTCCCGTTGCAGATTCGCCGGAGGCGCCTGGCACGACTCGCTGGTGGACAGACCTCGCAGCCCACCACGCCGCTTACCTCGCCCCAGAGGGAGAACCCTCCGGGGGCCCCGATCGCAGCATCAGCCCCAGGCCCCTCGCAGAGTCTCGGCCTCAATGTCCACAACATGACCCCAGCTACCTCCCCGATAGGCGCGGCAGGTAAGCCACCTCCCTGGGGGGCTGCAGTTCTCGGCTCCTCCTGTTCTGTTCCCATAGCAGATTAAAGCAAGAGCAGTGCCAGGTGTGTTTTGTTAGTGTCTATTCGTTTTTTTTTTTTTTGCGGTACCGGGATTGAACTCACGACCTTGCGCTTGCTGGGCAGGTGCAGTGCCGCTGAGCTAAATCCCCAGCCCCTGTCTATTCGTTTTGCTAAAGATCTATTAAAACTAATTGTTTTTCTTTTCCCTACCTTCTTGGTTTTTTTTTTGTACCAGGAATCGAACTCACACCCTCATGCTTGCCAGGCAGGCACTGGGCTGTTGAGCTATATCCCCAGCCCCTTTTCCCTACCTTCTGTGTTTTTCTATTTATTTATTTATTTAGTTAGTTAGTTACTTAGTTATTTAGTCATTCATTCAGTTGGTCTTTTCTGAGACAGGGTCTCACTACGCAGTTCATGCTGGCCTTGAGTTCACTTTGTAGCCCAGGCTAGCCTCGAACTCGCAACAGTTCTCCTGCCTCAGCCTCCCGAGTGCTGGGATTACAGGTGTGCACCATCATGCCCGGCTGTTTTTCTAAAACAAGCTCTTGGGTCCTACCTCCAAGGGCAAGATGATGAAGAGTGAATTTGGTTCTGCTGTTTTATGAATTTAGTGGATGCTGTTTTCTTTCTTTCTCCCTGCCTCCCCTTTTTCAGTGGTGCTGGAGGGCCTTGTCCATGCCAAGCACAGGCCCCAGCCCTTCAAATAAGATCACCTGAAAACACAAGACTGAAATGCTTGTCGGGTGACAACACTCTAATCACGGATTTTGTCCCCCCGCCCTGGTACTGGGAATTGAACTCATGACCTCGCCCTTGCCAGGCAGGCACTGTGCCGCTGAGCTAAATCTCCAGCCGTGCCTCCCCCTTTTTTTTGATGGATTTCTTTCTCTTCATGCTATATTGGCAGAGAATGTTTTGGATAAAATTTCAGGGTAGAAACCAACCTGGGGCTAGAAGTAGAACTTTGGGGCTGGGCCCTTCCCTAGCATGTGTGAGGCCCTGGGTTCACCTGACGTGACAGTTTATAATGCTCCTAATTCTTTTTTTTTGTTTGTTTTGAGACAAGGTCTCCCTATATAGTTCAAGCTGGCCTTGAACTCAGTATGTAGTCTAGGCTGGCCTTGCACTCACAGCAATCCTCCTGTCTCAGCCTCCCGAGTGCTGGGATGACAGGTGTGTGCCATCATACCAGTGATAGTTTATAATTCTCTCCTTAATTTTAGTAAAAGTATATTTACTTAAAATAAATGAGCTCCTGGTTGATATCCAGGGCTGTTAATTGTTGAGAAATGATACTGATTCCTATCGTATATTTGTTGGCTTTTCTTTTTGTATATTTGAAAACTTTTGTATGTGAACTTTTCTATCAAACATACTAGTGATGCTATTATACTTATAATTGCTATTGTATGATTACTTAAATTATGAAAAAGTAGGTGTTAAGAGACCTGCATGGATCATCCAATCTATTTGTTATGTGACTGTTAGTTCCATAGTTGATTTGCTATGCCATAGTCAGGTTTCAAAATAATTTTTTTCCCAGATTTTATTGGCACATTTTAGATATACAGAATGATCACATTCATCATAGAGAATTTGTACCTGTACATGAGATGACTTGATCTTCCCCCATATAACTTTTTTTTTCCCCGTTGTCTTCTTGGTAACGGGGATCGAACTCACGACCTTGCGCTTGCTGGGCAGGCGCTGTGCTGCTGAGCTAAATCCCCAGCCCTCCCGTTGTCTTCTTGATCTAGGATTGTTTGTCAAAAGTATTTGCAGTTAGAAAGTGGGTGTGGTCACACACGTGTAATCCCAGCACTTGGGAGCCTGAGGCAGGAGGATCTACACAAGTTTGAGGACAGCCTGGACTACATAGTGAGATGCTCTCTCTCTGGTACTGGGAACCGAACTCACGACCTTGCGCTTGCCAGGCAGGCGCTTTTGCCGCTGAGCTAAATCCCCAGCCCCATGAGATGCTCTCAAAAAAACCAGGCAAACAAGCATTTGAAGTTTTTGTTCCTTAGCTCATGAGGATAAAAGCTTAACTAGAGTTCTGTTAACTAAAAGAGGGAAGTTCAGCCCTAAGCATCAGTCAGTAACGAGCCTTTGAACTGTACATCTTCGAGACGCTGTGATGGTCCTTCTGTGGGATGGGGGGGGTGTTTAGGGTTCCAGTGGTGACTTTCCCTTTTCCTTGGGACAATTTCTAAGACCGGTGATGCTTGTCTCACCAAGATCAGGCCATGTCTGCACCTGCAGGTTGAGAACTTGCTTAGAGAGCCCTTTCTGCATTTGTCTTGAGGGCTGAGCCACGATTCCAGTTGAGTCCCCTTCCCTGCCTGGCATCTGTCTCTTGCGCTGGAACAAAGCGAGAAGCATTCTCAGAACCAGAACCAGGCTGGCTTGTTTCAAGTTCATGACCACCAGCTCGTGTGCGCCCTTCATGCCATAGGCGGCCGTGCCGCACTTCCTGGGCCCTTTCTCACTCTGCTGCTGGTTTCCTGCCGCATCCTCCAAGGGCGGCACCTCCTTCCCTGTGCACTCAGTCCACGGTGTCATGGAGACAATGCACCCAGGCCTGTCGCGGTCTCCGCCTGCCTTCCTGCATGACGCCTGCCTCCGCCGTGCCTGGCCCTGGGTCCCCCGTCTTCTCACCCAGCGTCATGCTTCCCCAGGCCCTCTCCTGTGTCTCCGGATTTTCCATCTCAGGTGGCTTTTGTCACAGGCTGGGTCTGTGCAGCTGCTTCTTCCATGGTGGCTCCAGGTCCCCTGCCAGACCCCGCCCCCTGACCTCTTCCTGATGGGACTCTGGGGCGAGTCTGCCGCTGCCCTTGTGCCCGCTGCCCTTGTGCCCGCTGCCCTTGTGCCCGCTATTGATCCTCCTGCAGGTGGGGGAAGCCGCACATGCTGGGCTCTGAGTCACTGTCCCGTCGGGCCTGTCACCTCATGGATGTGGCTCCCGCCCTCCCCCTGAAACGCCTGCCTTTCGGCGTGGGCAGCACCCCGCTCCAGGAGCGTTGGCCCGTCTGCGCTGCTCTCAGTTCTTTGGTGGCTCCTTTTCATTTTCCTAACGTGTAAAACAGAAGGGTACCAAGGTTCTGTATTTCAGATCTTGTTCTCTTCATCTATTCTTGTTCTCTTGCTCATTTCATCTGCTTTCCAGGCTTTAATTGCTGCTTCTAATTTGATGATTCCTAAGTTTCAGTCTCCGGGCGAGGCCCGTTCTCCATCCTCAAGGATTCCTGTTCCGGTGACCTGCTTGACTTCTGGGCTTGCGTGGCGAGTGCGCACCTGGAAGGAGCACACCCACAGCCGGGTTTGGGTTCTCACCTCCTCTTCCAGGAGGTCATCTCAGTAAATGATGGCATTTTTTTTTTTAGTTGCTTAAACCTAAAACATTGTTTCTTCTCTTTATCTCATACACTGATTGTGGTTGGGCAAACTGTCCCTGCAGAGGGCTAGGGGGTCAGTATGTTTGTTTGTTTGTTTTTGTTTGTTTTTCTTCTGGTACCAGGAATTGAACTCACGACCTTGCACTTGCCAGGCAGGCACTTTGCCACTGAGCTAAATCCCCAGCTAGGGGTCAGTATGTATTTCTGGTCTTGAATGTCATGAGGTCACAACTGTTCGTCTCTGCCCCCACAGCAGCCATTGACAGTGTGTAAGCAAACACATGACTACATCTCAGTAAAACGACTTACAAAATAGGCAGGAGGTTAGATTTGCGGCGTGGGCTTAGCGCTGCATCCACCCACACGTTAGAGCCATACCGGATTCTCGCCACCTCTTCTCTTGGCCTCGCGGCTCCCCAGGCCCAAGGCCTGGCATCTCTCGCCTGGATAGCTGCCTTGGTCTCTCCTGCCGCAGGGCCCCACTCACACATAAGTGTGCCGTTGTCAACAGCAACGCCTCATTTTGTTATTATAGACAACAGAAAGACAGGCGCTGCTCTGAGCGCAGAGTGCTTGGCGGTGCCCCCGTGCTATGAAGTCCTGAGCGTGTCTGTCACATCATCGCCACTATTCATAATCACAGCTGAGTAGATGTCATTAGCTATGGTTTGGCAGATTGGAAAAACAAATTTTCACAATTAAATAAAAAAGTAAAAGAAACCAAAACAAAACCCTGCACAAGGCAGGTTGTGTCAGCTCTGTGCTCAGAACCCTCTAGTGGCTCCCCGCCTTCCTCAGAATGAGAGCCCAGGGCTCCCACGCCCAGGGCAGTCTGTGATCAGCCCCACCATGTGGTCTTTGCTGCTCTTCATGGCCCTCCAGGTGAACGGTGCCGGCTTCCCTCTGCTCCTGAGCAGTCAGGCCTGCTCTGAATACGGCGCCTTTCCATTTGCCATTTTGCCTGCGATGCTAATGCCCTAGATTAGAAGCCCGCGTGGCTTTGTAGCTCAGTGCTTGTTCAAAGTGCTGCCTTCTCAGAAACACTGCCCACCGTGCTGCTATCCGGCCGACACCTTCTCTTCCGGCTGCTATGCCAGCTGCTGGGTATGTGTGGGAGGATAAGCTCTACTGCAGCGGCTACTTGTGTGTGTTTCGTCCACTGCTCTGTCGCCAGTACTGGCCGCAGTATCTGGTACTAGATCTACTCATTCTTACTAAGATGGATTGAGTTAAGACATGAATCACCAAAGAAAATGCCCAAAACACATGGGTGTGGGTGGTTAAGAAATTTCAAAATAATTTGGTTGATGTGTGTTTTAGGTGCGGCTACCTCCAGGGAGACAATCGCTTGTGCTTGTGTTCTGGCCTCCTAGCAGTTAGACATGGGGCCAGTGGGCGGGTATTCATCCTCCGAATGAGGAGAGACTGCTGTTCTGTAACCAGGCAGGCTTCAGAAAGATCAGCAGGGCGGGAGACAGCTCAGTGTGGAGTGCCCGGCGTCCGCTAGGCCGGGGTCCATCCCCAGGCCGATGAGACGATTCTCCAGTCTAGCAGGAAGCAGA